CCTTTTAATTAATACATTGAAACACTTAATAATTAGTATTAGGCCTATTGGTTTTAGTATTTCGCCTGCTTTGGGGATTTAAAACCATAAAAATCAGACGTTGTTTAGAAAACACTAGCAGAAACGCCGCCCAATGGGAGCTGTTTGTGCTAGTAATAATTAATCGTAGTATTCATAACTCATTGAAAAATGTTTAGAATAAGTGAACGTTTTTATAAGTGAAGATTTTTGAGGGAAGTACTGCACAGGAAACGTGTTCATATTGTGCTGATATAAACTGTAATGTTTTTATATATTAAAAGTGGCACCCTTTATTGAAAAAATAACAGTTTTTTTAAGAACTCCATTTTTTTTGGTTTAATTTGTTTTGAATTTCACGCAAAGCTACACCAGGGCTATCTGCGCTGCTCGTCCTTAATTTAGCAGTCATCACCACCCACCGCCAACTCTTGGGCTATTTTTTTACCAACGAATAGTGTGATTGACCGTCACCTTATAACGCCTTATGTAGCTTCTGTAAATAAAATATCTTATTTCTATATGTATATTGTTATGAATAAGTAGCTTTGAAATTATAAAAATATTTCGCTGTGATGTTTTTTTTTAAAGAAATAAATAAAAATGTTTAATTTTGTTGCATATTTTAATTACTGATTCTTATATCATCCTACATTCTTTAAAAACTTTTCCATCAAGATTTTGCTATACAAAAAAATGTAAATCTTATTTGTGTTTAGAATTAAACAGAAATGTATACAGCTTCACTGTGTTTAGAATTATGACGTGCAATAAATTTTTTTTATCACACCGAAATTATTAGGTTATCGATTTTTTCAAATGCTACTAAAAAGTTTCTTTTAACATATGCAATAAGTTTCAAACCCATTTTTATATACCTTCATATCTTTTTTTTTTTTATATTTGGGTGATTTTACGCAGCAAAATAGACCAATAAGAATTGTTACACAGCGGAAGTCACGTGACGCTGGTAACGCGTCATGAGATGCTCGAAGGATCTTGACTTGTCCTGGCAACTCTAGTATGTTCCAGACGCCTCTTTTTTAGTATATAAGCCCGGCAAATAAAGCAGAATTGCATAGATAGAGATAATTGAGTCAAGGG